GGGGGGGGGGGGGGGAGAGTTCATTCTGAGTATAAATACTTTAATTTCAATTTTTAGAAATTTAATGTAGAAAAAACAATAATACAAAAATCCATGTGTCTACTTCCCAAATTAATAAATAAAACATTATCCATTGAAGCCCCTCATGTTTAGCAGATTGCATCTCTTTTTCCCTCTTTAGACAGAGATAATTGCTGCCTTTAATTTGGTGGGTTTAAAATAGTATCTGGTAAAGAGTGTGTGTGTATGTGTGTGTGTGTTTAAGATTTTATTGGGGAAGGGGAACAGCCAAGTTGTTGTCCTTCAATCTTAGTTGTGGAGGGTGCAGCTAGCTGAGCTCCAACTCCAGTCGCCATCAGGCCGCCCATCAACAGCTCGCGGCCACTCGGCTCAAGGTGCAATGTTCAATCTTAGTTGCTGGTGGGCATAGCCTACCATCCCATGCAGGAGTCCAACGGACAATCTTGTTGTTAGGAGCACATGCTCTCACCAGCTGAGCCATCCTGCCACCTGTTGGCGGCTCAGCAGCAGCTAGCTCGGGTGCAGCTCACTGGCCCCTATGGGAATCCAACTGGGACCCTGTTGCTCAGAGTTCGCACTCTTAATCAACTGAGCCACTCAGTCGGCCTCTGTATGTTTTTTAATTATATTTAAATTATAATCTGTATTATTTAGCATTCATCTTTTCTCATTCCTTTTGTGAGATTCAGTCTTATTATGTGTAGCTCTAGTTCATTTCTTTTCACTGTTGATGGTTCCATTCCACTCTTGGTGGACCTTTAGATTTACCAAATAATGCTCCTGTGGCTTTTTGAACATGTCTGCATGTGTACATGTTCTCTCCATGGTAGGGATCTAGGGGTAGAATTTCTAGGTTGTAGAATGTGCACAGCCTCAGTTTTTACTAGGCCTAGGTCAGGCGTGAGCAAACTGCGGCTCGCAAGCCACATGTGTCTCTTTGGGTACATTCCGGCTCAAAAGTTTCCCAACCCCTGGAAAAGCCAATCCTGTCCCTCACAACAATTTAAAAATTATTTGAGAGCCATAAATATATTTTTACGTAATCACCATTATGTGACTAATATCCTTTAAAATTTTTATAAATGAGACTATAATTTTATTTTCATTTTCAATTTTACTTCAGAGCCTGTGGCTTGCGAGCCACAGTTTGCTGACCCTTGGCGGCTCTTCCTCTCAAAAGTTTGCCAACCCCTGGCCTAGGTGAATGACTGGTTTATATTCTCACAGTTTCACTTCCTCGCTTCACTTTACTGGCTGGCCGAGGGGTGCATTGGTTAAGAGCTGGCTTAGGACGCCAGCTCTGAGCAGCAGGGCCCAGGTTCAGATCCCACATGAGGGCCAGTGACACTGCGCCCTGTACAGCTAAGATGGTGAAAAACAGCTTGACCTGGAGCTGGGCTGCCGTGAGTCGCTGGCCGGCAGCTGGTATGAGCTTTTGTGAGTCGCTATGAGCGGCCGTCCAATGGCTTGCGAGCGACTGCCTCAGCCGGGAAGAGCACAATGATAATACCAACATGGACCAGTGAAGCAACGTCCTCCACAACTAGACTGAAGAACAAAAAGGACAGCAACTTGTCTGTTCCCCTCCCCCAATCCCCCAATAAAATCTTTAAAAATAAAATAAAAATTGATGCTAACCCATGTGAAATGGTATCTTTTATATATTTTGAATTACATTATCCTTGATTATGTTATGAACTCAAGGATCTTTTTACATCTTTATTTGGGATTTGGCTTTCCTGTCTTGTGAATTGCCTAATCATCTGTTCACTTTTTCTGCTGAATAGTCTTTTTCTTACTGATTTTTTTGGGTGGAAGGGCATTCTTTATATATTTTGTAGTCTTTTGGATTATAAGCATTTCAGTTCATTTCCTCCTATTCGATATTTTATTTTTTACGTTTTTGTATGGTATCCCATTTAAATGCAGAAGGTTTTAATGTTCACTACATTTTCTATCAATGAAAACTCTCTTCCTTCAGTATGCATTTCTGTTTGATAATTTAAGTGTTCCCTTTTTTATCCCTTTCTCCCACAGAAGGTGGAAAATGTAGCACAATGGCTCTTACGTCATTGCTTTGAGAGACTATCCCGCAGTGGTTAAGAATATAAGCTTTTTATATAATCTGACTGCCTGGTTTCAAATCCTAGCTTGGTCACCTATTAGCTATGTAACCTTAGACCAGTTTCTTTGTGCTTCAGTACAAAGAAATTGTGAGAATAATACGTAACAAGGATGTTTTGAAGATTTAGTGAGTTAACACATGTGTTTAAAACAGTTCCTGGCACAGAATAAATGCTTAATAAACATTAGCTGTTGCCATCATTATTATTTGCAGTTCTGATATCAGAGAAAACATCTAGAAAGAGTTTCAAGCTAGTTTCTATTAATACCTGATATGGAGAGGTGGGAGGTAGTCAGTAAATCTTTGAATTCTACCTGATTCACACAGCATTCGGCAGGCAGCTAGGAGTTTGACCTGTACCTTTATACCAGTGTTGAAAGTGAATGAGTAGGAGTATTAGAAACTTGGAAAAGTAAATTCTTTTTATTGTGAACAAACATTAAACTACTTTTAAAACATGCAGAGTGGGAGGCTTCTATTATTAACTTAGGCTTGGGCTTTTTAGCCTGTAGCTTAGAGAGGAACTAAGTCTTGGTGGTAGAGATAAAGAGGGCAGAGCAGTAAGAAATCCTGGAGATGAAAATCGGGGCTTTGAACTCATACAGACCTGCATCTGAGTACCATCCCTAACACTCAATGCGTGCCTTTGAACAACATACTGACTCGCTGTGAGATTTGGTCTCATCTGTAAAGCGGGAGTAATAATTATCACTGCTGTGAAGAGAGATAGTACAGTAATTTTTCAAGCTTCCATTTGAAAGAGGGATTACTTTAGAGGGGCAAAAGGAAGCATAACTTGAAAATTTTCAAGATAGGTTTTTAAAGAAACTTGGTTATTGAAATCATAAACTACAAGAGAAAAACTAGTTAAGGTTTGGTATTTATTATACCTAGCATATTTTTCATTTAGGTCAAATTTAGGGTCAGTATTTTGTCACTTGTATATATACTTTATAACATTCTGGGACCACTTTAGTAAATACGGTTTTTGCTTTAAGGTGAGTCATAGTATCATTTTACTTAAAAAGATTCAGTTTATTGTTGTTTTTTTCTATAACCATTACTAGTTTTCCTTATGATTGAAGGTCCAGAAATCAACTTCTATTGTTTTTGTAAGAAAATGTTTTTTGTGATGGTTATCAGGAATGTGAATTAGTGAAAATCATTGCTTATAATTATCAACAGCATATAATTTGTGGAGTTGTCGTTTAAAATGGATTAGAAAATTTTAGTTTGTTTTATGTCTTGAATAACTAATTAACTGGTTATCTTTCTAGTAAGTACAAGGTGGATTGCGCATGCCTCAAAGAAAACCCGGAGTGCCCTGTTCTAAAACGTAGTTCTGAGTCCACGGAAAATATCAACAGTGGTTATGAGACCAGAAGGAAAAAAGGAAAAAAAGAAAAGGATATTTCAAAAGAAAAAGATACACAAAATCAGAATATTACCTTGGATTGTGAAGGAACAACCAACAAAATGAAAAGCCCAGAAACTAAACAGAGAAAGCTTTCTCCACTGAGACTATCAGTATCAAATAATCAGGTACAGGACTACACTCTACTGATTCTTGATGTCAGATGTTAACAAAAGAAAAGAATTTGTCATATTTTATGTAAAATAGTTTAAAATTTGTAAGTTAAGTCCATTCTGTTATTTAATGCAATACTTAACAAATATAAAATGCAGGTTCTGCTAGAATGTGTACAATATTTGTTGAACTAAGAAACTTCAGCCAACAAATCCTTGCAGAATTAAATATAAGATTTTTCTAAGGCTGGGTAATTTCAAAAATTCTTCCAGATTGCACTGTCCTTGTATTCATAATAAATGTTCTTATTTAAAGTCTTCAGCCATAAAATTTCCTTTCTTTTAATATTTGGGGCATAATTAAATCAATTATATAAGGGTGACAGATAAGAGAAAATTTTCTTAAGAACACACAAGAGAATTTTGTGGAAAGGGTTTGGCCTATACTTCTGCCCTGCTAGGAGATACTTTGTTATATGTCCCCTAAACAAATGAAAGTTAAGAGGGACGATTGAATGTGGAAATTAAGTAAGGTGTTACTCATCTCCAGTACCTTATCTTCTAGGAATAATTTTCCTTAAGTTTTAAATTGAACATTTATTGAGCACTTGGTATTTGTAGGCTCTCAGTTTTGTGAAATAATTTATATACGTTTGTTTTTGGAAGAATATACACATAAGGTTATCCTACCATATTTGACCTTGTCGGCTCTATTGATAACATTATTGACTAGGACTTTAAAAAGCAGAATTATTTGATTGATTTTGAAAAACTTATTGAATTAGGAAACCAGTTTTAAGTTTCTAAAATGGATTTAAGTAGGCTTTTAATTTTTATATGTTGAATTAGTCGGGTTTAAAATAGTTCAGTGCCCCTAGTTGGATATGGAGTAGTAGTTTCTGTAAAGCAGTCATTTCCATCTTTCAGGAACCAGATTTTATTGATGATATAGAAGAAAAAACTCCCATTAGCAATGAAGTGGAAATGGAATCTGAGGAGCAGATTGCAGAAAGGAAAAGGAAGATGGTAAGTTGGGAAGCTGGTAACTGCTTCATGCTGTCCCTCGGGCTTAGTGACAGCTGTTGTTCTCATAGTAACTGTTGCTGCCTTTATGAGGGCTTTTCCACTGTTTCGTTGGAAGTTAGCAAACCTCATGTGCCACTGGACATTTTGTTTGGCTTTGTCATTACCATTCAAGTTACTTCCACTAATCTTTTGTATTTTCACTATATGTTCATTAGACATTTTAGAATGTGTGACATTTAAGAAATAATTTAACATTTTTGAAGAACCATTAATAAATTTTAATGCCAGAAGTACTGTTAAAAATGTCTTTTATTAGCTAAATGTATTCTTTCTCTTCATAATTTAATGTAAAACAAAATGGAATTTTAACTTACAATAGCACCAAATAAATGGCTTATGTAAAAAAAACACCAGTTTGGTAGCTACTATTTGTGTATCTCATACTGCTATCATAAAATAAGGTTTTCATTAAAATGTTTAGATTTCTATTCCTTGTACTATTTATTTGCAAATATCTGTATAAAAACTAGGACAAGATTCTTCTTACAAATCTATGCTAATTTAGTAATTGATACAATCTTTAGGCCAGTTAAGAAAGTAGTGTGGTATAGTTTGCCCTTAGATTTGAAAATGACTTTACACAAGTGATGGTCTTAGTATGGACTTTCCCCAGTACCCTTTATGTGTTCCCTGATTTCCTGTTTTAGTGATCTTCATGCTGTATTCCATGGACTCTCAAGTGCCATATACTTAATGGGTAGGATCTTTGGAATTTGGGTTTTGTAGGCCTACTTAATGTCTTTTTCCTGTTTTATTGCCTTGATAATCATTTCTCTAGTACTGATTCATTGTCGATGTTCAAAATTGTGAAAGCAATGCAGAACTGTTTCATAGCATCAGGATTTCAGGAACACTGCTCTGATGGGGCAGGGTAGTGCAAGAGCTAGAACAGACAAAAGTACTGGGGGTTGGCTATTTAAAAAAAAAAAGTTCTCCTACCTAAAGGAATCATCTTGAACCTTTTTCAAGATTCAGTTACATCTGAATTACCTGTACCCACCCAAATTACCTGTGTCTTTTTCTTGACTGGATTTTCCTGTTGGCCTATTCATTCCACAGTTGCCACAGCCTTGTATTTGCACGAATCCTGCAGGAACTTTTAGAACACCCATATAGAGTATCACTGATTGGGAGGATGTATCCGATAGGAGGAACCTCTTTTACGAGTGGTTTTAAGAGCTGTAAACACTTTGAAAAAAATATGAAATTAAAAAACAAACAAACCTGGAGGTTTGTTATGTGTTCATAATTTTATTCAGATTGCATCCTGTTTAAAAGTTTATATGGAAAAAGACAGTCTTTGTGACTGGGAGTCCATTGTCTTCCCTTAATGCTGGCATTTTGGAATAAAACCTGCTTTTCTTTTCATACACACACACACACACACACACACACACACACACGCACAAAACATGAAAAAAATTTTATATGATTATGGGCTTTTAAAATACATCCTTCTATTAGTGCTGAGAAAGTTAGTGGAGCTTACATCCTCATTTTCAGATCCCAGAAGAAAATACACACTTTTGCTGAGGTTGAACATGATGGAACTTTGGGTAGACAGACAAAAAGGCTTGCTTGAAAATTCATTTTTGGTCCTGATTTTGCCTATTAATATAGATGAATGCTTTGTTTTAAATATTCATTTTAATATCTGTCATTAAGGTGATGTACATTTTTTCATAGGTATAAAATGTGCAAAACTTGAAAAAGTGTAAATGTTTAGAATTTGTTGGTATTATAAAGAGATACAAAATATTTTAAAATCTTTGGCTTCTTGACCTGTAAGCTCTCAAAGTCGATTGCAATGTTATTTCTAATTGGTACATTTGCTTTGATGTTTCAAATTACACAATTTTTTGATATACTCAAATAAGAACGCAAAAGCATGCATCCTAGGGTTCTTTTGCTAATGGTATGGTTGTTCCCCTGTCAAAGTATTAGTGAGGACCAAAGTAACTGGTTTTGAAAAGTTCAAATACTAATCAGCATTTATTTTTCTAGTGTTTGCCTTTTATATTGGTTAACATCAGTAGTTGGAAAGGTAAACTCCTGATAAACTTACGGATACTGTTAAATTTTTACTTGTGACAAGACAGACTTTATTGTTAAGGGTATAATAGGAAATATTACTTTGAAGTATATTTACAAGATTGGGATATAAAAGGAGTCCGTCATACTCTCCTCCCAGGTAAATACCATGTAATGTCCAAATTCAAATATACTTAAGCCCATCCTTGTGTAGTATAGTTTAAAACATATGAAATTGTTTTGACCATTTTTACCTATACAAATGGCAATTTCATATACAACTTAAAATTTAGCATTTGGCTCAGTCTCCAAAAATTATACCAGTGGATTTATGTATTTTTGTTTCTGGCTTGTTTTATGGTGAGAATAGAAGCTAATGTCTCTGCTTTCAGGGACATTTACAAAAACAATTACAACGCAGCAAGAAGTGTGGTAAAGGAGAATGAAATATGATGGCTTATAGCTTGGGAGAATCAGAGACCATTTCAGGAAGTAGGTAGTATTTATCATGGACCTTATGAATAGGATTTAAAGAACTGTAGATTAGCTAGTGGATAAATTGTATGGAATTGAATGGATGGTTATTTCTCTAGGGGAAACAGCCTGGAGGTAGTTATGAGATAAATCATATTTGGCTGAGATTGTAGGCTGGTATTGGAAGGAGGGGTAGGGTGTAGGGAGATAAGGTTGGCTGTAGATCACATGAAATGTTGATGATTTCACGAAGGAGTATTTATTCAAATCACTATGTGGCCAGGGTAGAAAGTCATTCTTTTATTAACATTTTTGTTTCTCCTCCCTTATATTTTTCTTCTCCTCCCCCTTAAGAAGCTGTTAACCTGCTTATAAAAGCAAACTTGTGGCTAACTGGTATGGAACTGAGTAAATGGTTATTGGACATTTTTTCTTCGGCTAGTAAGAAATATTTCTTAGGCAGTGGGCTGGAATTGACATGGGAGATTCTTACACAATTAGCATGGTTAAGTTACCACAGTTGAAACACAGCAGGCTGTGTATACTCACTTGATTCCAAAACCAGGGCTCTACTGAGCAGACTCCCCCAGGTACGCAGTAGTTGAGGGGAGGCAAGATGGCCATAACTTTGTAAGAGGTAAAGAGAGTATGTGGAAGGGGGATAGATATTGGAAAGCTCACCTTATTTTGTTGAACAAGTGATCAATTAAAATACAAAACCTTTGAAAGATTTAAATTAAAAAAGATGCTTATCCCTTTCCATTTATAATGTCATAAAGCGAACCTCCTTTACAGTATCTTTTAATACATTTTCAAAATAATTTCCCATAATCTTATGGAAAGACTGTACCTTGGGAACAGTCTTGGTTAATATTTGATGGCCTGTTATAGTCAGATGTTTAAACTGGAGTCCATGGAAGATGGTTCAGGAGGATAGAAATTGGACAAACAAAAAGGGTATGAAGGCTATGAAAGGATAGTCCCCCTAGGTCTGAGATTCTTGAACTTGCCAAGCAGCTAGGACAATCTAGAATTGTTTGTATAACACTAGGATGTAAATTACATAAGGGGGAGCATGCCTAGCTTTTATAAAAGTATGTGATCAATAAATGAGCCTACTAAATGTTCGTGGCAGCAGTTTCAGGAAAGAGACAGGCTTCTGAGCGTGAACTTCAAATGAAGCTTCCTTATAGCTCAGGTTGTACCCTGAAGGCCTTACCAGGATGCACAATTCCCCATGATTTTCTGTCCTCATCCTTCACATTAAAAAGTATTCCACAGAACTCTAATTTAGGGTGTTTTGTAAAAAAGAGAGCTGTGGCCAGTTGAGTTTAGTAAACGGTATACCATGTCCCTAACTTTGAGATTTCCAGTGTACATGGTATGTTCAAACACTTGTGAAATTGTTGTTAGCATTTCCTTCAAATAACAGTGACACGTGCTTTATATAATGTATACACAATTCTTATTCACTTAACAAAAATTTGTGTTTGCTATATGCTGAGCACCTTTTAAGGTACGGGGTGAACAAGGAAGGCAAAGGTCCCTGGTTCTGGAGAAGCTTCCATGGAGGATGGGGTGCAAGAATCACACACACACACCAAGTAGGAAACGTACTATGAGGATAAACTAAATCGTCATGTGGTAGAGAAGAAATGGACATACCACACGAGCCATACTTACTGTTTTGGAATGATTTTATTGGTAACCAATTTTATGTACTTTTTAAAAGATTAATAAATTAATCTCTAATTCCTGTTTGAAAGGATAAGGGAAGTTACTGGAGTAAGCAGTCTTTTAATTTCTGTATTTCAAGGCAATAGTGTAGGGTAATGTGGTAGGTTGGTCCTGTCCTTTTGCTTTCATTTAAAAGGCAAGTTTTTTGGGTTTGTTTGTTTTGTTTTAAGAAAAGCCCCTTCCTACTTGGTAGCAAGGTGAAAATTAAATTATGAGTCCCTAGATGTCTTCATTTTGTTGCCTTCTCAATTTTTATACCCTACTACTAGCAAATTTCCTTCTAAAGGTACTGTGGGCATCCACAGTTCAGAAGCTTACATTTACTCAGTTTCAAATTACCAGATAGCTCTAGCTTGGATGAACTGTAACAATTTGCTCAGTGCTTAATTTTTTCATAAATTATTATAAAGTATTATATAAAACTTCATGTGCTTTATTATGACATCTGTGAACTACACACACCTTAGGTTATTTTCCTCATTGGCTGAATAACACGGCTTAGAGAAGATATCCATAGTCTTTTCTAAGTATAAAGTTATGATTTCAAGTTAAATCTGAGCTCCAGTGTTTATACATTGAAGCAAAGTTGGAATAAAAATTTGCAAGTGATAAAATTCTATAGGGATGCTATTAAGCAGATTTCCTTTTGCCGATAGGAAATGACAGTCTCTAAACTATGATATATGTGTTGTGTATCTCCTAAAAGCAATCTGTATGTAGATCTTGAGAGCCCTCATAGTTTAGTTTAGCACCCAACACTCCAGTATTAACAGTGTGTCAAAAAATAATGTAGTATTCCCGAATGGCAACCCTATTTGATTCTAATTCTCTATCAAGGTCTGTCAATTGCACAGCTCACACGTGATTTTGAAGTCTGGACAGAGTCATAAGCTTGAAATGAGTCATGGCTATTGAATATACAGGTCTTACTAACAGCCTTATGTGACAAGTATAATCTAAATTACATCAAGCACAGATGTTAGGGTCTGTGGACAGTCTGCTGGGGTTAATTAGGTAGGACCCCTAACTTCTCTAATCCCTTCCACAATCAGCTGGAATTACTTCAAGCTATACACAAAACTGTTATTTTTCAGTTAGATCACTGGGTGGTAAATTTTCAGTCATTAAATATACTGCATATCTGGTTATGTATCAAAGAGTACATCAGTTGCAGTGCTGAATATAAAAGCTGAATGACATGAACACCCAAGAAATTTAAAAATAAAAGTAGATCAGTGTGCTAATGATTTTTCTCATGTGGAAAATCAGACATGCTTACATTCCCAGCACAGGATACCTGTTGAGTGCTTTCAGTTAACAGTTGTAGTAAATGTATTAATGTAGGAAGACTTATGCTTTATTTTGCTTTATGCAGAGTGTCAGTGTTTGTTAACAGGAACGAAGAGTTAATCAGGAGCCGAGAAACTTGGTAATAATTACAGAACTGCCTTTGAGTGAGTCACGTAATACACATTGGCTTTGGCCTCTTCCGCAGTGTAGGATCCTGAGCAGCTCAAAAAGATTATGTGCCATCTCTAAATAAAGGCTTTTGTTTTGACTATCAATTGTTTTGTTTATAAGACAGTTCAGTTTTTAATTGAATGAGTTGGGTCTTTACGTCAAATAACTATCTCTGACCCTCACACTTACCATCCAAGTGAATATTGGGACTATGCCAAAGAAACTTCTCTTGACACAAATTCATATTCATCTTAGAAAATCCTGGATAATAATGATATAGAAAATACCTTCCTTGGGTACTTGGCTTTGGGTAATTTTAATACATAAAATGATCCTTGCTAAGACAAGTTTATTTCTTCTTGAAGAATGTACTTTCCCAAGATTTAAAAATTTTAAAAGAGATTAAGTACAATAGTAATTACCTCCTCTTCCCCTTATCTGTCCCCATTGAACAGGTGAAGGAATTAAAATTATTTTTACTTTTTACTTACTCCAGATTTCTAAATTTAGGGTTTTACAATAGCCCTGATATATGGAGGCAGGGTTTTTATAAACACCCATAAGATAAAAGAGGGTCGAATAAAGTGATTTTAAAAGACCAGATACATGAATTATCTAAGGAAAGAATTCAGCTTTAAAAGTTTCACTTTCAGTTAAAAGACCTTTTTTTTAACCTATGTTATTTATTTAAGAAGCAGATATGTATCCATGAACAAGTAATCTTACCTCTTTGGACCTTTCCTTACCTGTAAAATAGAGGGTGAGGATAACACATTTTGTAATAATGACACAAGCTTATAAGTATTCTCAGAGGAGTTTCATTGACATACTACTTTGTTCCCTTACTGAAAATAACAAAGAAAGAAATATACAGGAAAGAGTAAGCAGTAGTTTCCAGAGTAGAGGTGTCTTGATGTTTGAATCTCTGCTGATAATCACTGGAACTAACGCTCCAACGTTGAGAAGACCATGCAGCCAGACAGACCCTGAGCTTCTGATCTTTCTTCCCACAGTGATGACAACAGAGACAAATGGATCTGAGCCTCAGGACCTGGTTCTTCTCCTCTGGACAGCTGAGAGATGTGCTTCCAGTTTCTGGTTGAAAAGCCCCAGCATTTGCCAGGCCCAGTGGCCAAGGCCCGGGGTCTTGCTTTTAATGCTCTCTCTCTCTCTCCAAAGAGAACTTATGCTCAAAGGAATTCTTGCTGTTCCTCAGTCCCTGTCTTGAACTATCAGGATCAGACAGGGAGAGCCTTACAAAAACCATAATGGAGGGCAAGGGAGCTAAGGCGGAGATAATGAGGAACACTCACGGAATGCCCACCATTTTCCAAGTACTGTTGAAAGACTTCACAGCTATTGGGTTGTCGGAAAAGTCAGGACGTATTTTTCTGTTTCATTGCGTAAATGCGTTGACTTTTCTGACAACCCAATATTTGCTGCTTGAACCCAGTAGGAGTTGGGTGAAGTGTACGTTATTACCCACATTTTATAAGAGGCTGACAAGGTTAACTAGGGTTGTTGAGTTGCCTAGGGTCAGAGATAGTAAATGACTAGCAGTCATGACTTGAACCCAGGAGGACTTCACCCCACAATATCTTGCTACCACATGTCATTAATATATACACTCTAAGTTTATATGAATGTAACCCTTTCAACCATAGGAACTTTGGTACTTAAAAAAAGGCTGACATTTGTTCTATTGAGAAAAAGATTTTCAGTTTGAGAAACAGTACAGTTTTTGAGGCGTTCTGTTTTGTTTTGCTTTACCCTCACCATTGACAATCATCCAGGTGTTCCTTTCATGAAATATATGTTCATGAAATATAATGACAGGGCTTACCAAGATTTGGGGGTTTTAAAAATCTCAAATGAATATAAGTGTCTTCCCCCATATCTACCATCAATAGAAGTGTTTTGCTAACAGCATCATAGAAATTATTTTCTAAATTTGCCATGAACATTTGGACTTTTGGACTTTAAAGCAATAATATTTATGTCACTTATAATTTAAATTTTATAGACAAGAGAAGAAAGGAAAATGGAAGCAATTCTGCAAGCTTTTGCCAGACTTGAAAAAAGAGAGAAGAGAAGAGAACAAGCTTTGGAAAGGATCAGCACCGCCAAAACGGAAGTGAGAACTGAATGTAAAGATGCCCAGGTTGTCAACGATGAAGTTATTCAGGTATCATTCACCCTTAACCACTTTCCAATACAATTTCCACACCCAATTTAATTACATCTAAAAAAATTTTTTAATGTCTTATGTTAAGCCTTTCAATAACATTTTTAAAATCTTATGAGAAGTTAGACTTAAGACTCTGCTTGCTTTGTTTTTGAGAGTAATAAAAATGTTAACTATGTCAATTTAGTATAGAAATGCATAAAGAAATACGGGGAAGTTAGCTTCTGAAGTAGACTAATGCTATTAGATTGCAACTTCTCACTTACGAAAACATAGTATTAAAAGTTCCATTCTGTTGTATTTTGAATTAGGAACAAGCAAAAGAAGAAACTGCTAGCAAGCCAACCCCTGCCAAAGTGAACAGAACCAAACAGAGGAAAAGTTTTTCTCGCAGTAGGACTCACATTGGACAGCAGCGTCGGAGACACAGAACTGTCAGCATGTGCTCAGATATCCAACCATCTTCTCCAGATATAGAAGTTACATCACAACAAAATGATATTGAAAATACTGTACTTGTATTAGAACCAGAAACTGAAACTACACTAACAGAAATAGTTACTGAAACTGAAGTTCCAGCACTTAATAAATGTCCTACAAAGTACCCCAAAACAAAGAAGGTATGATTGTAAGAACTGTTTTCTGATAAGTGTCTTATGGTGTTAAGTATACTCGTATTTTTAAAACTCAATCTGTAACATCTCATAAGGAACAGAATGGTAAGAGGCATAGTTTTTTGTGCTTGCAAAGTTTAGCTAACAATGAGAATTGCAAAACTGTAACATCAGTTAATATAAATGTTTGCATTATTATGAAGACAATTATAATATTCAGTCATTCAGTCTATCAAGACTTCCTTTTAGTATTACAATTCATGATTTCTTTTAAATATTTTTGCCCACCCTATGTACTAAAGTTACTTATCAGAAATAACTGGTTTTAGACATGTTCTTTCTTCTTTGTATTTTTTTATAGATACCACAGTGTAGGCAGATTATAAGAATTGAATGTGAAGAAATTGTTGATTTCTATAGAACGTACTAAGAATGAAAATTTATAAGGAAGGTTTCAGGTTAATTTATTAATAAAAATCTTTTAAAAACTGTCAGTTTTAATGAAACAATTATGGGAAACTGTTTGGAGATGAACCAACCAGAGCTTCATATTTCTAGCTCAGAAACAACGGAACATCCTGATGGAGCTTGGTTTTCTCCCAGTTTTGAGTAGAGTACAGTAGACCGGAGCAGATACCAAAGTAGTAATCTGTAGGCTACCTGGGGAAGGGAGGTGGATCATAAACGGATCATTCTTACATACTCTATCAAAATACTTTGAAACTTAATTGATCTTGTCTTTGTTCTTACCAAATTCAGTAGTTTGTAGGTCCTATGAAACCATGAGAAGTGTATTTAGTAAGCATCTAGGATGCGCCCTGGAGTGTACTTTCATGGGGAGTCAGGGGTTAGAGGTCAGATGTACACACAGGTCTGTCCAGTGTGCAGTTTGCTTCCTTCCTGCACCATCTGGAGAGCAAGTCACTACTTGTCTTCAACAAGACGCAGTTACTTCTGCCCACTTTGGAAGGACAAAAAATAATAGTACCTTTTCTTTATAGTTTTGATTAGTGAAAAGAAAAACTCATGTTTAAATGAGAAGCTACTTTCTTGATTACAAATAACATCATCCCTGGGCCGGTTGAGTGGCTCAGTTGGTTAAGAGCTCGCTCAAGAGTTTGAGCTCTGAGCAACAGCGGTTCAAGTCCAGCCCGAGCTGAGCAGCCGCTGAGCTGCCAATAGGTAGCAGGATGGCTCAGCTAAAAAAATAAATAAATAAAATAAAACAAATAACATCATCCCTGCTCTTCAATTATTACGTGACTCAATGATTGTGGTGCTATAAATTTATTTAAGCCCCTGGACAAATGCCTTAAAACAATAGTAAATGTCACTGCTGACAGTGTTTTGTTTTTTAATGTTTATGCACTGGTTTCATCTGGAGATTCTGATGGGCAGCCAGAGTAGGCAAGCACTTCCCCAAAGCAGATTTTTCTAACTGAATATTTTACACCAGTAACAGAAGCAGTAACAAAGTTAAATTTAGTGTTTGTGATTCTAAGATGGTACTGATGTCTACTGGATTTTACTGTTTTACAAGTTACCATGTGTTTTGCTTTTACAAAGTTTTATTGTATAAAAAAATTTTAGGAATAAGAGTAGTGATCACCAAGGACATGTAGATGACATTGATTTTTTTTTTACGTCATATATGAATGTTTAAATTACTCAGTATATTAAGTAATCCAACAACTTCAAATTTGGTATTAGAATGTTCTATAGGAGAATCTATCATTACATATATAGTGATCCAAATTTTTCTTTTTTGTAGCACTTGGTCAGTGAATGGTTAAGTGAGAAGACTGAGAAGACAGGAAAACCTTCAGACAGCCTTTCAGAAAGACCTCTGCGCATAACCACAGATCCCGAAGTGTTAGCTACACAGCTCAATTCCTTACCAGGTCTCACTTACAGCCCCCATGTATACTCTACTCCCAAGCACTATATTAGATTTACTTCACCATTCCTTTCAGAAAAAAGGAGAAGAAAAGAACCTACTGAAAACATTTCTGGCTCATGCAAGAAGGTAAACTTTTCTTTGGATATAAAAATCTAGGAAGAGCCAAATGTCAAACTCGTTCCTTACTATTATTTCTGGTAGTGAAATGCTTTTGGAATCGGCTCTACATGGATAGGCTATATAAATAGCTACAAACTGATTTCTGCTCCTTTATTCTTTTATGTATTTCAGCGATGGCTGAAACAGGCTCTAGAGGAGGAAAACTCAGCTGTTTTACATAGATTTAATTCACCCTGTCAAGAAAGATCCAGAAGTCCTACAGTCAATGGTGAAAGTAAAAGTCCACTACTATTAAATGAAAGCTGTTCCCTTCCAGGTATAATTGTTTTCAGTATTGTTTCAGTGTGAAGAATGTGGCAGGAGGCATATATAACTTTATAAAAGGCATATTCTAGTTCTTCTTATGTAGTTTAATAAAGAAGTACATTGTTATATATATTTTCTCATTTCTGTCATCCAACCTTTTGGATGAAGACAGACATGAAAACCTTAATTTGCAAGTACCATGTATACTGGGATTTATGGCTGAATGTTTGGACTAGTTCTGGCTCTTAGGCTGGCTGCTTTTCAGACAGATTCAAAAGGACTCTTAGAAATCTGTTAACATCTGTACGTCTAAGATTTCTTAGAGAACCCTAACCTGTAAGCCTTCTGGCAAGAAGCAATATAGTAACAATGCTCGCTACTAGTGAAATTAAGTTGGGTGTGCGGAGAGATTGCTTCAAGTTAGTAATAGTTTGAAAAACCCTGAAATTTAGTTTGGGTTTGAAAGTCATCATTACTACCACTGTTGATGTTTCACTCTTTCCCAGAATATATCAGATTATAGTAAATACCAGCAGTATAATTTTTGATAAATTATTTCACCAACAGATTTAACTACACCACTAAAAAAACGAAGACTTTATCAGTTGCTAGATTCTGCTTACTCAGAAACCTCCACACCTACTCCTTCACCCTATGCTACACCAACTCATACAGATGTTACTCCAGTGGACCCATCATTTGCCACTCCTCCACGAATAAAATCAGATGATGAAGCTTGTAGAAATGGTTATAAGCCCATATATTCACCAGTTACCCCAGTAACTCCTGGCACACCAGGAAATACCATGCACTTTGAGGTGAGAAATTTAAATGGAAAAAAAAAAAATTATCTCGTGGGGTGGGGATTCTTTGTTTTTATTCTCCCCCTTTAACAACTAGTGTACTGAGATTAGCAAAAGTTTTTAAGAAACTATAAGAAAATTTGGAACATGCATTTATGTGAATTTGAACTTTATTTTTAATAAAATGAGTATAACTTTCACTTTATTGATATAAATTTTGATTTATTGATTTATTGATAGTCTGACTGTATATCAATAAAGTGAAAGTTATACTCATTTTATTAAAAATAAAGTTCAAATCATTTAGTCAATGATTATGTGTATGAAATTGGCCTTAAAGCAAATGATGTTATATGGGAAGTGGAAATAAAACAGAAAGTTTAAAACCAAAGTCTGTGTAGTAGTTTCTCATTTTAAGTTTTCATTTTTATAAATATCATGGACTTAGTTATATGTTTTAATTTTCAATTCTAATCATTTCTTTTTATATAGAATATTTCTTCCCCAGAAAGTTCTCCAGAAATTAAGAGACGCACTTATAGTCAAGAGGTAAGGCGTATTCAAAAAGATTATTTAAATTGGTGATTTCCCCCCCTTGTATTGTTATTTTGCTTTAATAATTATTGGTAGCTTTTAAAATAAGTAGTCTCAAGATGTGGTTGTTTGGTAATTTTTTTTTTTTTTTTTAAATTCTGTTAACAGGGATATGACAGATCTTCAACGATGTTAACATTGGGGCCTTTTAGAAATTCTAGTTTAACTGAACTGGGTCTACAAGAAATAAAGACTATTGGTTATACCAGCCCTAGGAGTAGGACTGAAGTCAACAGGCAGTGCCCTGGAGAAAAGGAATCTGTGTCAGACCTTCAACTGGGACTTGATGCAATCGAGCAAACTGCCTTACATAAAACCATGGAAACACCAACACATGACAGGACCGATTCTAACAGCCAACTGGAATCTGCTCACTCTGGACGGGGTACAATATATTCTTCCTGGGTAAAGAGTCCTGACAGAACAGGCGTTAACTTCTCAGTGAACTCTAACTTGAGGGACCTGACACCCTCACATCAGTTGGAGGTTGGAGGAGGCTTCCGAATAAGTGAGTCAAAGTGCCTGATGCAGGATGATACTAGAGGCATGTTTATGGAAACACCTGTGTTCTGTACTTCAGAAGATGGGCTTGTATCTGGTTTCGGACGGACTGTTAATGACAATTTGATCGACGGAACTTGCACACCCCAGAACCCACCACAAAAGAAAAAGGTTACAAATTTAACGATTTATAGTCCTTTTAATAGTGTTTTTTTCATACTACTGCTGAGGGTTATTAGGAGTTATAGTATTATGTAAGGCATTCATACTGTAGTTACTCAAGTTAAATTTTTGATTTGTACGTTTTTAAACCTTTTGTAAATGCCCAATTAGAAAATGTTGACCGAGAAATAAAACACACTAGTATAGAAAATTCAGGATGATTTATTTCGCCCAGTAACTTAAAAATGATAACCACTTTCCAATGAAATGGAATTGTATATTATTTGTGTTACTTCCCTTATTTTACATAGAAGAGGCAGCCTTGTATAGTAGAAATGCCTCTTTCCTCAGTATTTAGGCCATGGACATAAGAGTATTTTGAAAAGTATAAGTATTATGTAAATAATAAATTCCCTGATTTGCCAACTTTATTTGGTTGGCAGACATAGCGAAACAATTTGAATGCCTTACTTCAGAGGAATGGGAGAAACTAGCAACACTTATTTTATTTATTAATGGGCTTATTGCTTTAAAAGTCAAAAGAATTTTAGTGATGTGTGCTTTTAATTTTTATAACAGAGTCCAGTTGGCAACTTTGTGGGAAGCAATGTAGTATAGTGGAAAGAGCACGGGCTTTCAAATAAGACCTAGGTTCGAATCCCGGCTCCAACACTCACCAGCTGTGTGACCTTGAGTGAGTGAGTTACTCAATTTCCTCATCTGTAAAATGGGGATGATAATATACCTATTTCATAGGGTTGTTGTGAGGATTAAATGAGATAATGTATGTAAATCATCTATATACAATGCCTTGTATATAGTAGGCATTTGATAATTGTTATTTATTGTTATTTGTTCAGACTCAAATTATTTTACATAATTTTCCTAATATAAATATAGTAATTCTCTTTAGAAAAAAAAAAGAATAGCTTGACCCTGACATAGAAAACAAGAATGAAAGATTTGCTTTTCCTTATCTTTCTTAAGGTTTCTCTGTTAGAATACCGTAAAAGACAACGTGAAGCCAGGAAAAGTGGCTCTAAGGCAGAACACTTTCCCCTGGTTACTGTGTCCCCGCACGCCAGTGGGAACCTGAGCAGCAGCCACAGTGATGGATGTGCCAGCAGGAGTGACAGCGGGGAGCAGGCAGAGGGCACTGGCGGTCCGCCTTTACTGGCACCAGCCTCAGCTCAGAGCACTACTGCAGAAGACACCAGCAGCAGCAGTCCCGGCAAGGAAGTTTCCGCAAGCGAGAAGACCGAGCCTGTGCAGTGGTAAGCCCACCTACAACCCCGCTGTAGTTGCAGAACTAGCTCCGAGTAGTGAGGAGTACACCTTATTGTTAAAGCAGTCTTCGTTTTTTCTAAGGATCTGAAGTATGCTGTTCTGAAAAGAATAAGCTTTTGTTAGTGAACTAATTTCCTGGGGTTTTTTTTGTTGTTGTTATCCAAAGGCTAAGGAGATACACGTTTGTGGACATGATTTTGTAAGATCCTTTTTGCTGATGGGTTATTAATCAGCTATATATTTGCTTGAGATCCATTGTTTACTCTTTGATAATTTTCACATAAATATTCCTCTCTAAAGAACCTTTATCACAGTCAGCATCCTGCAATTTCTTTATCAGTTACCTTGAAAGAACAATCAAGTTTTGTGTTTGTTCAGTGGGAGTAGAAGCTGGATGTAGGGTGGGTCTTGGCAAAGGGCAGGAGGCGACATCCACTTTGCTTCTTGGTCCCCACTGAGGGCTTCCTCCTGGCCTTCCAATTCCAACACAAGGATTTGTAAACAGTAACGTGAAGTGACATTGTGAATGTTCATACACTATCCTCCAACCTCCTTTTCACCAAGAAATTGCTTAAGACAAAAGGATGGAGTCTGATTGAGGACTTCAAATAAATGAGGATAAAAATCTGTTTTGAAAGCAATTAGAAAGAAAAGCCTGTTTTCAAAGCTTAAAAGTTTTCCCCAAAGAGCAAAAGCCTTGCTCTGAGAGGACATGCTTTAACAATGAAGGGACAAATAATCTGGCTGGCAGTGGCTTCTGTGAATTGACGGTATGATTTTTTGTAAAGGACTGCCTCAACTTCAGTGGAGCAAGTGCGAGAAAGGAGTTACCAGAGAGCTTTACTTCTCAGTGATCACCGAAAAGATAAAGACAGTGGTAAGTAAACTTGCTCCTTGGCCAAAAAGTGGAGTCAGCTAATCACTTTGCACCCTGGTTCTTTGCAGTTCTAATGCTCTCTTTGGGTCTGCTTCTTCTTCATCTCTAGGGGGAGAATCACCCTGTGTCCCATGTTCACCGAGTCATGTTCCGTCTTCACCTTCATCTCATTCAAATCACATTCCCCAGTTGCAACCCAAGGTCCCAGTCCCTTCTTTCAGTGAACTTATGGAAGGTCAGTAGCAGATGACCTATCATGGTTATTGTTTTAAATATCTTTTTAAATCAGAAAGGAGAGAGCCTTTATACAAAGTTGGTTTAAACAGTAGAATGCACATTGCTTTGTAGTGTTAGTAAAAGGCAATATTTATCATGGAATTTTACATTTATTAGAGGTTTCTTCTGCTATTTATAGATCCTGATCCTGAAAATCCAGAACCTATGACTACAAATGAATATCCATCTCCAGATACTTCTCAAAATAGTTGTAAAAGCCCTTCAAAAATGAACAAGGTAATAACACTGACCTTTGAACGTGGATGAAAGTGCATGATAACAGGCACACAGAGATTTTTCTGCTGTACTAAGTATCAGTTTGTGATTTCTGGACACTTTCCTGTCAAACAAAATTTGACCAAACTTTTTAATGTGCTACTTCAATAGCTTCCATTTTCTCCAAGAGTTCCACCCCTAGTCTATTGGTGTCTAGGAAATTCAGTCTTTTCATGAAATATTTAACCACCCCATTCTCTAAAAACAAAAGATCAGGTGACATTCATTTAAAAGAAATGCTATCTCCATCCTGGATCATAAAGTTGTGATGATTAATCGTGTGTGGCAGTATCTTTGGAAACTCAAGTAGGGAATCTGAGATTGATTTCGTTTTTCCTTAAAGAACATTATATGTATTTAAGTAAGTGCTCTTGCACGTAGATTATTTGAACAATGTAAAAGGTATTACAATCAAAATGGGTGGTTGTTGTTTTTTTTTGGGGGGGGGGAGCTTATTTACCCAAACCAATTTATCATTAGGTTGGGTACAGAAATTTCAATTACAGGATTGACACTAAGTGTTTAGGGTTATTAGAGTTCTTTCAGAGTAAGGTTCACAAACGTGTTTCATTGCTTAGGGGGAAGAGGCAGATTAATATTAAAAATCCATTATTTCTTTAACTTGTCTTCAGTAAAATTTCATTCAGGGAGTTCAGTTGAAGCTTATTCCCAGAATTTCAGCTGCCTAACTACATATCCCATCTCTGTAATGGATTCCTCAAACCTATCTTGTTCCCCGCCCCCTTTCAAATCAATACTTAAACATTAAATACTACTGTAACAAACCTCAGTGTACATAAAATGTTTCTTACATTTATGTAAATTGTTTATGTGACCTGTTTCCTTTTCATAGCCTGGTTCCCCAGGACCTGTAATTCCTGCCCAGCCGCATGGGAAAATACTCACGAAACCCGATTCGCACTGGGAGGCAGCAGTTCCTGTGTCAGAAGCTGAGAACGGTGTTCACCTGAAACCGGAACTCCCACAGCAGCAGCTACTGAGCACGGCCCAAGCACTTTCCAAGGGTCACCCTCCTCAGCAGCTGCCACAGAAGCTGCCCTCTGCGCCCGGCAAGTTGCACTGTCCGCCATCCCCGCACACAGAAAACCCTCCAAAGCCCTCGACGCCCCACACGCCTGCCCAGCACGGTTATCTCTCACCAAAGCCTCCTGCCCAGCAGCTGGGGTCTCCCTACAGGCCGCACCATTCCCAGTCACCTCAAGTTGGAACACCTCAGCGAGAGCCTCAGAGAAACTTCTATACAGCAGCACAGACCCTTCAAGCCACCACGCAGCAGGCGACCTCGGGAGCGTTATTCACACAGACACCCTCAGGACAATCGTCGGCAACTTACAGTCAGTTTTCCCAACCGAGTCTGACGGCCGTGGCGCCGCCCCCTCCGCCCCCTCCGCCCCCTTCTTCGTCTTATTATCAGAACCAGCAGCCCTCTGCGAACTTTCAGACTTATAATCAGCTTAAAGGTAGTCTGTCCCAACAAACTGTGTTTACATCAGGACCAAATCAAGCACTTCCAGGCACCACCAGCCAGCAAGCCGTTCCGGGCCACCACGTGGCTCCGGGCCACTTTCTGCCCCCCCAGAACCCCCCAATTCACCACCAGACGGCTGCTGCTGTGGCCCCGCCGCCGCCC